GGTCGTCCAATGATTTTATTGCAATTTCAACTTAGTACATTGACCATTTTACAACATAACTCTGAGAGTATAATCGTGCCTGCTTTGCCATTTGATCAACTTGATCATGAGAAATATGAAGAAAGTGAAATTACAAAGCTATGCTATTTTACAAATATCTTGAAATTGAGTTATGAAAGGAAATTGTCTCTCCTGTGAGTTTTCCGCATCCATACTTGAGTCTTGTAACAAACCATAGAACTGTTGTAAATCCCCGCAATCTTGAGTCTTGAAACAGGTATGTAGAAATATAAATGGATACTTTCGTTTAAATTTCTAGAATCAGGATGGTACAATAACTAGAAATTTAGAATGGTTTCAAATTTAACTGTAAATGGTTTTATTTGAATCTTTGATAGAGTCCGTTTTTGTTTTGGGAATTTGTCTCCAATATCTTTTTTTCTAAACATTCTACGATCATTTCATTACCAAGTACGTCTTTCAACAAATTCTTTTGTCGACCTGACCTCATACCGAAATATATATTAAAAAAACATTTACAAATCCACATCTTAGATTACACCACACAACCAAAAAAACTACACATCACACACACATAAAAATAAAACACTTATGAGATTAAAACCCTGGCTTTGTTACGTCCATGTTTTATACTCGCATTCAAATACTAACGTCCAATACGTAATTAAACCACCACAATAGACAACTGAATCACGATTTTACCACTCCAGTATTTAGACAGGTCTGATTAGCCGGTGAGTCATTACTAGCTAGCCCGCGATTTTGGCGATTTTGGCGATGTGAGCCACTTGGTACTGAGGCACGTACTTGTTCGGTCGACCCTCTTCCTCCCTTGGCTCATTCAAGAATGCCAAGTTGCTTCTTCTCCACCTGACCAACACACAAATTCATTTTCATTTTTTGGGGAGAGGGGGGGAATTGACATATATAACCAAAAAAATTATAATATATTTTTTTGTTTTTTGATGGAACCTAAAAAAAATTATAATATATAAACTGACCAAAGAATGAGAAATTTTCCAAAAGTTTTTTAAATAATATAAAATATTGATATAATATCGTGAATTTTTTAAAGAATGCTACAAACTTTACAAAAATTTCTTCATGGAAGTTTCTAACACTATTTAAAAAATCTACAATATTATATCAATATTTCATATTTTATATTACCTAAAAAAACTTCCAGTGCTTTAATTCTCCCTATATTGTGAAATATAGTTTTTTTTTTTTGTTATTGTGATGCAAATGACCCCTTTTTTATAATAAATTGTTTTTACGAGATTGATTTGAATCTAGGTTAGAATTTTATATATTATTACCATCCACTTCTCTTGCTTTGGTTTTCATAATCTTCTACTATTTTCTCCTCTTGCGCAACTTCCTGCAAACACATCCAAAGGCTTCTTTGAGATCATTTTTTGTTTTTGGGTAACTTTCCCAAGTCGTAA